GCTTGTGACAGGACTGGAGAGGTTTCTCTCAGGATTTGGTTCTGTGGTTTGTAAAACTCCACCCTGACTCTACCTCACAGAGACGGGCAAGAGAAAGGGGTTTTGAACACTCTGTGCCGGGGCCGCAAAGGGGGCAAGTCACTCATCCTGGGCAGCCTCCTGGTTGTGGCAGCGGGAACAGGGAAACCCACAAACTTCAGAGAAGACAGGGGCCCCAGTGGGAGTGTCCCCAGCTGGAGGACGCATGCATTTTTGCTTCTCTTTTTCTTGTGGAAAGGAGCATTCACCATAACCCCTCCTATCCCGTCATCACCTTCAACAGTTATCAACTTGTGGCCCATTTCCTCCAACCATCCAGACTATTCTCAACAGATCACTTCACTCAAAAATATTTTAAAACATATCTCCAGAATATGAGTCCTGTCTTTACTAACTATATGCTTTGTTTTAATAAAGAAGAGAAAGCTTTCTCAAAAGCCATTTAGCAGTATTTGGTAAAATAACTTGTCACCAAATACAGGCGCCTGGGTGGCTCAGTGAGTTGAGTGACTGACTTGATTTCGGCTCAGGTTGTCATCTCAGAGTCATGGGATGGAGCCCCACATCAGGATTCACGCTCAGCGGGGAGTCTGCTTGAGATTCTCTCTCTCTTCCCCTCTCCCAGCTCTCCAAAGCCCGCATACACTCTCTCTCTCTTTCAAATAAATAAGTAAATCTTTTAAAAGATCGTTTGTTACAAAATAAAAATGTTAACAAAACAGTGGATTAAATTAACAAAATTTCTGCATTTCATTTCTACAGAATGAAAACCATGCAGGGTTTTAAGATTTGACATTTAATGACATTTGAGAGAATTAATTTCAAGATAGGAAAAAGTATCTTTGGTATAAAATATTAAGTAAAAAAGGGTTATAAAATAGTCAAAGCAGGGGGCACCCGGGTGGCTCAGTGGGTTAAGCCTCTGCCTTCGGCTCAGGCCATGATCTCGGGGTCCTGGGATCGAGCCCCGAATCGGGCTCTCTGCTCAGCAGGGAGCCTGCTTCCCCTCCCCTCTCTCTGTCTGCCTCTCTGCCTACTTGGGATCTCTATCTGTCAAATAAATAAATAAAATCTTAAAAAAAAAATAGTCGAAGCAGGATGACCTTAATTTCTAACACTGTAATACACACAACATGTATGTGCACAGGAAACAAACTGGAAGAAAATATATCAAAGTTCTAGGTGGCTTTCTGGGTAATTTTAATTTTCTCATTGTGCTTTTCTGAGTGTTCAGTGAACAATGAGAGTGTACGGCAATCATAAAAACGTTAACAAAAAATACAGTGGTGCCTGGGGTTTCCCAAAGGGTGCTGGTGTCATCCTAGGACTGGTCACTGGTGAGTGACTGCATGCACTCCTTTAGCCCACAGCATCCTCCCAGTCAGTCCCTGGTTTCTTTTCTAGATTTAGCACTGGTCTTCAGAGCCTCTTACCCAGTCCGTTTTGCAGGCATTAGATCCTAGCTGGCCCCCATTTGGCTCCAGATGGTGGGCAAACCGGTTCCCTCCCCTCCCAGGTTCTCTGGGATGAGTCCTTTAAGCACCAATGGGCCCGGGCCAGCAGCTTTTGGATTTAACGGATTTATTGGGCAATGACTTTACACAATCTTATCTCTTTGCAATCTGAAATTAAACCAGACTGCAATGTCTGATTTGGCCAATAGGTGGTGCTGTGCAACACGAAAGCACTAGTGCCCCGCGGTTCTGAAGACCGATTTCAGGGATCCTTGTAATAATTGCCGGAGAGGGCAGGCTGACATAGCATAGCTACCTAAGGGAATGCAGACAAACTTACCACCTGCCACTATCCTTACCATCATCACACAGGACTAGCCATTTCAATGTAAGTGTAGGAAGACAGAAATCTCAGGATAAAGACAATTCTTGAATGTGAATACATTTTAAGAAAAACTCCGTTGTATGATTCTTATTCTTGTCATTTCAACTCAGACCAGTGAAAACTTGACCCTAGACCAGCGCAACCCTAGACCAGCACTGGTGCTGAACTGGCCTTTGGGAATCCCTGCTCTAGCCAAGGATTCCAGGAGTTGAAGTTCCCTCTATTCCCCGTCAAATTTCCACAAAAATCAATTTGCTTCAAATTAAGAACGCCTTTATGTTCCCAGTGTGCAGTGAGACATATCTACTAGATCTTTCCTCCACTCGTGGTTAAAGTGGAGCAGTGAGCCACTTTTAAGCAGAGCTATCTCTTAAAGACGCAGGTTGGGAATGCCCAGGTGGCTCAGTCAGTTAAGCGTCTGCCTTTGGCTCAGGTCATGATCCCAGGATCCTGGAATCAAGTACCGCATCAGGCTCCCTGCTCAGTGGGGAGCCTGCTTCTCCCTCTGCCTGCTGCTTCCCCTGCTTGTGCATGCTCTCTCTCTGACAAATAAATATTAAAAACAAAAACAAAACACCACACAGGTTGATCACACCGTTCCTCTGCTGTCAAAAGGACTCAGGATATCACACCAGCAGCTTCATGATCGAGGCCTGCCTCACTCATCAGGATCAGAATCGGACAAGAGCCACCTCCAGCTCATCCCAAAAACACAACAGAAGGATGGCTTCCAGCCTTACCGAACTTCAGCACTTAAACCCAGTCTGTTCCCTCCAGCTGCAATGTTGACATGCCCCTCACCTTCCCGATACCTGCCTAGTTTTTTCCAGCAAGTCAGCACAATGTCACCTCCTCCAGGAAGCCACCTCCTCTGCTCCCAAGGGACCTGGCACATAATGATCTGAGAGTACTTGTCACCTGGTTAGAATGGTGGCGTCCCCTGGGCACTGTCTGTTCAGCTTGTGTTCCCTCCTCAGGATTTGACTCAGTAAGGTACCCAGTGAATCCTTGCTGATTCATTGATTCTCCTTGTTGGCAAACAAGCTTGGGTCAACTTTTTCAAAAGCCTCCCTTAAGATCTTTTCAGTAAACCCAGGAGATGCTGGCAAAAGCTGGCAGGCTGGTTGGAGTGAGAGAAACAGCAGGAAGCCCTGGGACTTAGGGAACTGGGGATCTGGCAAAAGTACATTCGGTTTCCTGATACACGGAGTAGCCCCCGATCCTTTGGAGTCACCCTTGCAAAATATCTTTCTGAAATGTACTAGCTCTGCAGTTGCTTACCCAGAAACATTTCAAAAAATGAAGTTGAAAATGTCTATGAGTGACAAAAAGGAATGACTCTGTAGCAAAAGAACAAATTATTTTTTAAAAATAAAATGAAATTAAGGGAAATGGGAAGAGAAGACAAGTGTGTGTACACCAGAGTTGCGGTCAGTGAGTAATGAGAAACAGCAGGAACATGAAGAAATAAAACGTACAATGATTACAGTTTAATGGGTACTTTTCATGGTCCACGCACTAAGCGAAATACTTGATCTGTGCAACCTCATGTAATCCACACAACCACTCTAAAAAGCAGGGATGACTGTCCCTGGGGTTATAGGCTTGGAAAGGTTAAGTAACTTTTCCAAGATCAGACACAACTGGAATGGAATCTAGATCTAACAGCAAAGCCCCAAATTAACTTAATATTAACTTCTTCTCTTTGGTGATACATTGTGACCAAATATTTTTAGGGGTGCCTGGGTGGCTTATTCAGTCGAGCATCTGACCTGGGCTCAGCTCATGATCCCAGGGTCCTGGGAGCCCCCCATCAGGCTCCCACTCAGCAGGGAGTCTACTTCTCCCTCTCCCACTCCCAATTTGTGCTCACACACTCACACGTTCTCTAATAAAATCTTTTAAAATAAGCATTTTTTTAATCGCAGTTAAATATAATTGAATTCTTGACTTAGCACACAGAGTACGCTAACACACGCTAAACACGTCTCCATCTGAAGGCTCCAGACCTCCCAGGCCTGAGGGCCCACCGCGCAGGCCAGCCTGGAGCAGCAGATTCACAGACAGCCCCCAAGACCATCCTAAGTGGTCTTTGTGTTTTTAACAAATCCAAACCATCAGCTTCCTCTCCATGATTTAGCTCTCGTCCTGCTCAGAGGCAGGGTTAAGCCCAAAGGGCTAATTCCCTTGATCCAGTCATTTTCTAAGAACCACTAACAGACTAATCATTTACCTTTTAAATGGGTCAAGGGTGTTAATAGGTGGCTCACAGAAAAGGAAATACAAATGGCCCAAATAATTTTTTGTGTGTATGCCCTCATTAGAGAAATGCAAATTAAAGCTAGGGAGACCTGTCTCTCCAGCAAAAATCAGAAAGCTCAGTAACGCATGGAAAGCTCTCCTGCGCTGGTGGCCGTGGCTGCCGGAACCACCTCCCCCACGGACAGCCATTCAGCAAGACTCATCATGAAAGCACATGCTCTGACCGTGGAGCTCTGCTCCTGGGATCGCATCTTTCAGACTGACTCGTAAGTGAAAATTAATCCGCATGTGCCGTTTTACTGCAGCAATGGTTGTGAGGCCTTGTTAAACGACCATGGTACAGCCATGGAACCCCAAACAAGAAGGGGGATGCTCGTTCAGTATGGCTATGAACTCCTCAAAATACTATAAGTGGAAAAGACTCTGATGCTGAAAGGCAGCCTCTGGCGGGGCGGGGAGGGTGCAGCTGGGGCGGGAGATTTCACTAGAGACTCCTCGATACCTTCTGAACTTTAAACCACATGAAATACTCAGAAAAACGAAATTTAAACACCTATTGAAGCTTTCCTTGTTACAGAAGTTTCTGGCTTCGCACCAGCTCTCCCCTGCAGTATACCCTGCCTTCTGGGAACTCTAGAGCAAGAACAGAGGGACTGTAAGTACGTGTCTGCATCAGGGAGGCTCTGCTCCTCTACCAGCCCTGAAGGGGAGGGAGCCGGAAGGGTCACCCTGGCTGCACTTCCTCCCTCTGTCCACAGGTGGCGCCACGGGGCCTGCTGCCTGGACAGATGGTGGCCTGGGAAGCCCTGGGGCCTTGGGCTGCTGACCAAGGGGCAAAGAAATAGGCAGGCACAAGTAAGTTAACATAAAATAGAAACTAGCTTTATTTATCTGGAAGAAGCAGGGATCCATAGCTGGGGCAGCAACTCTGGCGGCAGAGGCTGGCAGGAAAACAGGGAACAGCATAGGGGAGGAGCTGGGTCAGAGAGGAAGCTCTGGTGTCCCTCCAGGGCAGCTGCCCCTTTGGTCTCCTTCCAACCCTGGGGCCTTGGGCCCTGGTCCCTGCCAGAGAACAATCTGGCACCCCTGCTCTGCTTCCTGAGCCACTCAGGGCTATCTCCAGGCATAAGATCCTAAGACCAGCCAAGTCCCATAACGTATCCATGGCGAGGCCACAAGTCACATTCTCTCCGACACCCCAACAGCCCACCAGGGGATCCCTGGAGAAGGGCCCTGCCCTGAGGAGGGCCTGTGGGTGCTGGTCCCCCTTTCTGTGTGGCCAACACATCCTCCTTGCACGGGTGCAGCCTGGCTTCCCGGCCAGCAGAGCCTGGGGACACGCTCTGGCCACAGGCCCCACACCCAGGGCTGGAGCCAGAGGCAGGCTGGCTGCAGGGCATGCTGAGGCCACCACCAGGCCTGCCTTCACAGGGCTTCTTCCCGCCCCTTGGCTGAGGGCACCGAGGGCTGATCCAAAGTTGCAGGGACAGCACTGGGTGAGGGAGGGATGGCAAGGCGGGGCTCCCAGTCTCCCGCAGACTTGGCCTTGCCCTGCCGCTAGGAGCAGCGAGTGGCAGCAGGTCCTCCAGGCCCGGGGCAGGGTCTCTCCCCACCCTTGTCAGATGGACAGGCTCAAGTGATTCCTTCAGGGCAGACCCTCTGGCTCTCCCGACATCTCAGCGCCTGAAGGGTGGGAAACAACCAGAAAGGGCCTCTATCAACAGAGGGGTGGATGCAACAGAGCAGGGAACGTCCAGCGTGGGTGGGCACGAGTTGAAAAAGTCAGCAGTAATTTTGGAATTTATCATCCTGGGATACCTTTTACCTTTAATAATGATGATAATAATAAAGAGAACAGCAGTATTGTTTATTAGCCGATCAGAGGGCGACAGGCACAGTAAACAAGCCCCACGAGAGGAGAGGCTCTAGTTCCCTCTTACTCTTTAGTTCATTTGAACCAAGGGGCTAAGTAGTCTACAGGCACTCAGGAGAAACGGCTCTCCCCCAGAGCTGTCCCTGTCCTGGCTTAGGGCTGCTGCCCGCCTCCGGGTGTGTGGCCCATGAGGGGCCAGGCTGTCTCCTGGCGCAGTGCCCGCTGGGACATGGCTCCTCAGGCCGGGGCTCACTCACTTGTGGTGGGCAGGGCCGCAGGAGCCCAGAAGGCGGCAGCCGGCCTGCTCCAGGCTCCAGTCACACATCTCCAGCACTTTGTGGCACTCGCTCCTCGGCCGCAGACCCAACCCAAAGAGCTGCTCCACCTGAGGGAGCAGAGGGTGGTGCCATGGGACACACCGGGGCTGAAGGGCGGCAGGCAGCCGGGGCGGCCAGGGTGGGGGCAGAGGAGAGCCAGAGGCAGGCTGGTGGGGAGGGGCAGGGGGAGGCGAGTGCAGCAGAACCAGTCCTCAGGGTCCCTGAAAGCCAGAGTGGGCGGGAGGTGGCGGTACCTTCAGATACTGGGCAGCCCGCTGCACGCTCCAGCTGTGGCTCTGCAGGGCCACCTGGCACTCCTCTGTGGTCACCCCATGCACCATGGCCTGCAGCTGGGCACACCCACCCACCTACCCGTCAGCTCCGCTTGGGCCCATTCCTCTGGGGCCCTGGGGCCCCTGCCCACCCCCTGCCCCCCGCCCCAGCACCCGGGCCCAGGCCCGGCACTCACCATCTGGATCTTGTCTGCCGGCCGTCCAGCCTCTGGCCCGTCCCCAGGGCAGCCCCTCTGTGGCAGCCGAGCCGTGGCCCTCATGGCTGGTGGCCGGGCCCCTGGGTTACTGTTGTTGGTGGAGAAGTTGGCCTTGGGGTCTGGGGCGGCCTGGGGCATTGGTCGAACAGTGGCCGTGGGGGCGGCAGGGGCTGGGGTGCTGGGCGGGGGCAGCAGCAGGGGCACGGGCAGAGGGGCGGGCTCTTCAGGGCTCTGGGCCTCCCGCAGGAAGCGCTGATAGCGTTCGAGGTAGGGTGGGCGCTCCGGCAGCAGGTAGTAGTGGGTGCTGCTGACCTTCTTGCCGTCGCGGACAATGGGGAGAATGCAGGGGCCTGCACGTGGGCCAGGCGCCTGGATCACTTGGGGCGTGGCATACTTGGGGTCGGAGGCGAAGCTCTGGGTGGTGGGCATGGTCTTCCCCGGTGAGCTGGAGAGCCGGGCTGGCAGCGGGGAGCTTCCAGGTGGTACCAGGGGGCTAGGGGTTCTCGAGCCTTGAGGGGACAGGGGTTCCCGGGGAGGCACCCGGGGAGGGGAGGCAGGTCCGGGCCACCGCCCTAGCTCCTCCTCACCCGAGGGGGCCGGAGACAGCTCGCCCCGTGGGCGAGTGGGCCTCGGGGGTATGGGCACGCGGGGGGGCACCTGGGGCTTGTCCTCACCCACTGGCGCCAGGCCAGGAGAAGGGCCCAGGGAGGCCACCGGGACCTGCAGCTGCCGCATGCACTCCTGCTGCAGCGCCTGGAAGATCTGTGCAGTCTGGGCCGAGCTGGGCAGCTTGACCCCCGCCTGGGGCAGGAGAAACAGATTGTCCTCCAGGGGAGGGAGCAGAGGTGCCTGCTCAGGCACAAAGGCGTAGTTGGTCTCCCCCTGGCTGGGCCCCGCACAGACCCCTGCACCCACAAGGGTGCTGTTGATGGAGCAGACCTCAAAGTCATCCTCATCCTGGGCCACATCGTCGTAGGCGGGAGGTGGGGGCAGCGGGCGCGCATCCCAGTCCACCACGGGCGTGGGGTGCAGCGGCCGGGGCAGGGCCCGTGTGGGGCTCTGTGGCGGGGTCTTGTCCAGCAAGGAGCAGGCGTCCATGGCCAGCTGCGCCAGCGAGGGTGCGCAGGGCCGCGGGGCAGGCACGACAGGCTCCTCGCCAAAGTCAATGAGCGTGACCTCACCCCCGCTGCCTCGAGCCGCCTTGGTGCCCGGTACCCGAGCCGAGGGCTTTGCGAGCCACAGCCCACGGGTCAGTGCTGGTTTCCGAAGGCCCAGCCTCTTGAAGTCGCTGGACAGGGGGTCCTGGTCCTCACTCACAGGGTCATAGGTTGGCTCTAGGATAGAAAGGGAGACCCCACCAGGAAGGCGGTGTCAGACCGGGGGACAGGGGAAGAAAGGCAAGTTATCATCTGCAACTCCCCACTCCCACTGCCCCCAGAGGTTATCCCTCGGCTGCCAAAATTCTCAGTGCACACCAACCCTATTCAAACAGGAGCAAAGAAACTGCTCGGGACACTGCCAGCTCTCCGGGGGGGCTGACGCACCCCTGCCTCCATCTCGGCTAGAGCAAGCAACACCCTGCAGCAGCCTGACACCCCAACACACAAGACCCCCAAATACCCCAGGCTCCTGGGCCCCATCAGTCCCTGCTTACCCCCACCCCGTTTCGGCACGCCATTAGTGTGGGATGGAGGCTACGGGCAATCGCCCACCACCCAGGGCAGCTGGTGCTGTCCTTGGAGAGCATGGAGCTCCTGACCAAACACCACAAAAGCCCAGACGCAGTCGCCTCTGCAGGTCCCAAAGGGAGTGGGGCAGGGCCAGCTGATGGGGGACAGGTGGGCACCAGGACCACACACCTGCTCCAGAAGCCCAAGCTTTTAGGGGTCGGGGGAGAGGCAGGCATGCTGGGCCAGGTCAGCGGCGAAAGCTCACAGCACACACCCCACACCCCCTCCCACCCAGCCAGCCCACTGGGGCTCTGTACCTTCCAGAAGGAGAGGAGGAATGAGAGGAGAGAGGGGACAGGGGCAGGGGCCAAGGCACCGAGAGCAGCCCCACTTACTCTGAGAGAAGATGGCAGGCTGAGGTGGGCGAGGCGGAGGCTGCCCTGCAAGAAAGGCCGTGCGGAGAGCAGAGGGGCGGAGCGGGACAGACAGAGGGCGGGGAGGGAAGAGGGCCAGACGGGAGGGCAGAGCGTGGACAGAGACAGAGAGAGAGCAGTGAGTAGGGGCGCGTGAACGTACAAACCCAACAGCAATGGGAAGCAGTGGGGCGGCAGGATGGGGGGAACCGTGTTCCGGAACGACAGGCACAGGATCCGGGAGATGGATGAGGCTCCTGGCCAGGGTGAAGCCCGTGGGGTGGTTTTGGCTCGGGAGAGGACAGCAGGATTAGAGGGAGTGAGGAAAGCCAGGATCTGAGCATGGCGGGAAGGAGGGCGGAGGGAAGCTGAGGTGGGCAGGCCAGCACAGGACTGGCCGAGGGTGCCCACCTCGGCGGATACAGCTGCCTCTCATCTTCCACCCCATGGCCAGCCGGAGCCAGGGCTCAGCTGTCCCCCAGCAGCCCTGACCCAACTGTCCCAGAGCCAGAGCAGCCGGCTCAGCGTGCCCGGAGAGGACAGTACCTCTTCCTGGGCAGCTGACGAACTTGGGGGGGCTGGGTTCTTACTTTTCACCCTTCCTAGATGTTGGGTGGGTCGGGAGGTGCTCAGTTCCACACTCAGCAGGTCAGGAGGGTCCATGGGGTTTCCCAGGTATAGTCTGTAGGGAGACAACCAAGTCAGAAGGGGGAAGCAGGGGGAAGGCTGTGCAGTAGCAACCGTGGGGAAACCTCAGGTGGAGACTAAGACCCTGGGCACGTGCCAGGAACCATCCTGTCCAAGCCCTGCACAGAGCTGGGCCGGGAGCACAGGACTTCCAACTCCCGCGGTTCCCCGCAAACTGTACCCCAGGGACAGGGGTCACAGAGAGATGGCAGGGCAAAAGTCCTGAGTGCAGGCTGAAAGGCTTGGGCTGAAGAATACCCTCCAGGAGCAGAGCTGCTGTCCGCAATGGCTAGGGCACCCCACCCACACTTGGCAGCCACCTGCCGGCCCTCTCGGGAGCACCCAGCCACACGACCCTGGCAGGGTGGGCAGGAGGCACACTCTTGCCCCACGGCCAGGTGGAGGAGGGGCCGGGCTGTCTGGCCCGCTCCCGATTCACCCTCTCCAGCCCGGTGCTGATTGTCAGGCCCTGGGACTTAGTCACTGGGCTGATTAAAGCCCAGAGGAATGGGGCTGGGCCGGCCACAGCACGCCATGAGCAGGGCAGAGGGCACCGGGCCTCCTTTCGGAAGGCGTCTCCACACCTCGCCCCAATTCCCTCAGGCCCGCGCCTGGCTCTTGGGAGGTGAGCAACACCAGCTGCTCTGCAGGGCTTCGCTTCTGGTGTGTGAGGGCAAGGGGGGGAAGGCCTGCTTCACGGGCCTCTCAGGGCAGAGCCAAACGTCAGGAGAAGTCAGAGGAGAAAGGGCTGCCTGGAAGCCCCCTAGGGCAGGGCACTCAGGAAATGACTAATTCTTCTCCGTGTCCTCCCCAGACGCCCCCCAATGACCTCATCCTTTTGCTTAAAGGAGACTGAACACCCCCACCAGGTACAGAGTTGGCAGGCAAGTGGGGGTGCTGCCTAACCTTCCATCTGGCGTCTCCCCACAGGGAGCTCTTTCACTGTGCCCCCGAGTCTGGGAACACGAGCTCACTTGACCGCTGGGCCCACAGGCTCAGTCTCCAGGACTCTAGCAGCCCAAGAAGGGAAGCTTCTACATAGGGAGCATCATAGCTTCCCTGCTGAGCTCCTTCCGAAGGCTGTTCCCAGTCCCTTTTCCTAAGGTCAGTGCACCAGGGGTGGGGGATTCCACCAAACAGAAGTGTGTCTCCAGGCCCCAAGTTCCTAACCCCGGTTCTGCCTGCAGGGAACAGTAACAGTAAGGGCAGTAAGAGACCCTCTGCCCCACGGCTGTGACAAGGACCTCGGAAGCCAGCAAGAGCCTATGACTCCAGAGCCACAGGTGACCCCCACCCCAATCACACTCACTCGTCGATCTTGTCAGGGAAGCCCCAGCAGTGGCGGGGGTCGCTGTCGCCATGTCCCGTGTGGATGAAGCTATTCTGCAGGGGTTGACTGATGTCCTGGGCCGACAGGCCAGCCACGGAGGTCACCACATTGCGCGGGAAGGGGCCTACACACAGCGTCCGTGTGTTCTGCCCACGCCACCAGTAATTCTCAGCCCTGCTCAACAGAGATGACATGGTGAACCCCAGGGCATGTAGGGGTGGGGGCAGGGAGCGGGACCTTTCCCATACCAAGCTCTCTAGCCATGCTATCTGAACAGCCGGGCAGAAGGGGCCCGAGGGTTACAACCTTGAGACCAGTGGAGTCTGCTATGAGCCCCAAGACCAGTCACTCCTCTGGTACAGGGCCCAGCTGTTTGCACACACCTTACCCCATGATACCGAGGTGGGTCAGACAGCTTTTCCTACAGTTTACAAATAAGGAAACAGGTTCAAACAAGTGACAGGACTTGCCTACAGTTCCCAGAAAGATCATAGCAGACCCAGGATTCAAATTTAGTTAGTCTGCAAGCCAGCACCCTTCCTACAAAGCTGCCTCACCTCCTTCCTCCCAGCAAGGCCTGAACCCCCACCCTCTGGCCACCGGACCTTGCTCTTCAGCCGAGTTTCCCGGCATCCTGAGCTGCAGGGTCCAAAGGAGCACCATGGTCTCAGCACTCAACTTGAAACCAAGCCCTCCAACCACACTATTTCCTGCACACAGCCCCTCATGCACCTGGAAGCACTCAAAGCAATCCATGCTGTCCCATTACCAGTTCTGCGTCTCCAGTGCCTTCTGCAACCTCTCAGCAGGGCTGTGGGACCCTCGCCCTTATCCCCAGCCATCTCCTGGGGAACACCACTCTTGTCTTAAATACAAGGTCTAGAAAGGGACCCAGTGTCCCAGTGTAGCTGGACTGTGGGACCCAGCTCCTCACTCTGATCTCTGCTGACGCAGCCTAAGCCCGGGCCTAGGGTGGGGGTCAGGCCAGGAGGGGGCCCTCCTGGACACTTCGAATGGCAGGCTGCAGCTCCCTTATCTGCTGCTGGGCTCATTACACCTGATGACGTGGGCAGAATCCAAGCTGAGGCAGGTGAAGGACAGCCTCATGCTGCTATGCAGCACGTGTGCATACCCAGTCATCCCCCACCCACAAGACTGGGAGCGTAAAGGTCTCCTCCAAGCTGGGGCTAGATTGCAGGGGCCGAGGAGGCATGGAGGCTGAGCTCCTGGAGCCTCCTCTGGAAGGTAACATGGCCCACTGGGAGCAGCTGACCTCAAACCGCCAGCTCTAGAGGTCAGGTCGAGCCACACGAGTCCGGCTGTTCTCGGGAAGCCAAGAGGTGGGGCAGGGGAGGGCTGGGAAGCCAGCCTCCTTCAAAACAGGACCGCAGACCAGCCTACCACCAGACACAGCAACCCTGTGATTACACCCTGCCCTGGGGTGGGAAGGGCAGGAAAGGAAGGAAGAAGAGAGGACAACACCCAGGAAGGGATAAAGGGACAAAGCCATTGAAATATAGCAGGGCCCTTCCGAGGAGAGAAACGCCCACCCAGCACCGCAGCTCCCAGGGGGCAGGCTGAGGTTGACATCCACCCATGAAGCAGGGCGAAGAGGGACGCCTGCCACCAGGGGACTCTGCTGCTGGTCTCCCCTCCCCTCTGTGCCCACTGGCACCCTGGGTTCTGCAGGCCTCTCCATAGACTTCTCGGACGCCCAACCAGGCTGGACAATGGACTCTGCTCTCCACGCCTCTTCAGAGGTGCACATTAACCTGGGTGAGAGAGGCGGCTGAGGCAGAGACACAGTCCGGTGGAGAACCGAATCACGTCCAAGGCCAGGTCCGCCCTGTGACCATGCCCTCCCTGTGGACCCTGAGCAAGGTGAGACTGCCAGGAGGTCCCTCCCTCCACCCTCTGCCTCTTGCCAGCACAGCTAAAGTCCTGACACAGGGGTTCCTCTGGACCCACTTAGGAGAGTGACAGATGCCAGCCCCCCTCCTCTTATTGCGGGTATGGCCGAGCAAGAGCGCTGGGCCTGCTGAGAGTCCTGACATCAGTGACATCAGTTCCCACACTCTGCTCCCCGGGGAGGGGAGCTGGGGATGCAGAGCACGCTTAGGAAAAAGACACTCTGGGAGTCACATCCCAAGCACACTCAGCAGCGGACGTAACTCTTGAGATGGCCGACGCTCTCCTGCGCTGCCCACCGACTCCCTCCGAGGTTTGGTGGGACCCAGGCACCAGCGGCTCACACAGGGAAGCCACCCGTCCTACCCGGCCTGCACTGGCCACACCCACGCTCCCCACCACCACCACCCCCACCACCCCATAAATGGGCCAGAGTCTCCACAGCAATGGGAGGGGTCAGGCCCACTGTGGGCAGACACTGCCGTGCAGACAGAAGTCCCCGGGGAAAGAGACCAGGGCCCAGCACCTCCGGCACAAACAAACGTTCTGTCTCCTGCTGCCTGTTGGCATCCAGGGACAGGCAAGAAGTTGAGTGGCACCTGGGAAACCTAGGTCTGAACTGAGAACTGCCTAAGGCTACCCCAGCTTCTACTTGGGACCAGCTTCTGGAAATCTCAGCCCCCACCCAGTCCTGGCCCAAGGTAGTCCAGCCCAGAAACGGCTGATAACTGTTGCTTAAACATCCTGCTCAAAACACAGCCCCACCCACTTCTGAGTGACCCAGGCATCCCTGGTGTTGGACCACCCAGGCCCCTGGTTCCCTCCCCACCTACCCCTGGAAGCAGAGGCTCCAAGGACCAGGCCAGGCCAGGCCAAGGCCCTGAAAATAGATTTCCACACCGGTCTCCCTTCTCTAGTTCTATAAAAACACAACACGGAAGTGCTACGGCTATCCCAGCTTCCAAACAAGATCCCCCTGGACAAGACCCGCTTGTCATCTGTCCCTCCATCTAGACAGCACCTCACAAGTTCGACAGAGCATCTGGGTGTCCTCTCCTGCCCAATGCCTGGCACCCCCAGAAGCCCCAAGCTATGGACAAGGGGATCCCAGACTTGGCAATGCTTCTGCAAAGGGAACCCATGGTTGCCAGAGAAACAGACACAGAGCTGCGAGCCAGGCTAAGAGACGGGGAAGCAGAGAACCAGAGAACCACGCATACAAGCCCAGACCCTCCACCCAGAGACATGGAGACAGAGTCAGCCAAACAAACACAGAGACATCTGGGCACCGAGAAAACAAGGGGCCAGAGTGAAAGCACACAGACCCACCCCCAAAGCCTCGCCGGCTGCCTCTCACCTCCCACCTCCTGAGCAGCTCCAGGAACCATGTGCAGGCACCGTGGTCCAAGTCGGCGCTGGTCCTGGAGGAGGAGCCCAGGGAGCTCACACCCGCAGGCAGCTGCAAAGCCCGCAGCTGGGGCCAACCAAGGCCTGGGACCCAAGGGTGGGGCAGGGCACGACCATGGTGCCTCCCAAGAGGAGTGGCTCCCCCTGGGCCCCACCTGCTGCCCGCCTGGCTCTGGTGGAAACCTAGGCCACCAACTCCTGAGACACACACTCCAGAACACAAGTAGCAATTGAGTCACCCTCTGGGGAACACTGGGCCCCCACTGACTGGGAGGCAATAAAGACCCAAGGGCTACGGTGCACAAGAGGGGTCAGGTCCAAGGTCCTCGGGTTCCTGAAGGTGGGAATGGTATGGGTCCAGACTTCTGACTTAAGGCCCTGCCATGCCCCTCCAGATGGGGCATCTTCCTATTTCCACAATGCTCTTCAGAAACCCATGCCTATAGTCCCCTGCCTGGCCCCCAGACCCAAATCCAGAGACTATCTACCTTCCTGACCTGGGGGCCTCTCACCTCCTAGAAGCTTTCTGCTTTTGTCCACCACCACTAACTCCCCAAACCTCCACCCCCACAAATCGCTGATATGTCATCTGTATTTCCAGATACCGGGCCCAAAGGCTAGGGGAGCCCTGGTCTGGCCACAGTGAGGGCAGGGGCGTGTGTGTCCCCAGAAGCACCCTGGGCTCCAAGGCCCACTCCATCACTCTGACTCAACCCAGAAGCTCTCCTCCCTTACCAACCCCCATGGGGACAGGACTTAACTATGAGCTCAGACCCCCAAACCTGAGGCCCAGGGAAAGGGCTCCATGGGAAGCGACCCCTGCCCCCAACCTCCCACCCCCCAGCCTGGCCATGCATCACAGAAGCTGGGAACACAGGGGATTTCCTCTGCCTCGCTCCTCTTCCTGGTCCTCCATACTCACCCCCTACCCCAAAGGCACCTCAAGCCTGCGCTGCCCCAACCAGTTCCTCAAGCCACCCTGGGGATCAGATAACAGAGGGTGGGGTGAGTGATGGGTAGGGCCTCCTGGGCAGAAGGGCTCCAACAGGGGCTGCAGGAAGTTGACGTGACTCAGGAGATGCCGCCTGGAGGCAGAGGAAAGCATCCCAGGTGTCTGGCTTCGGGGAGAGCTCAGGAACAGAGGGCACTGGGATCCCATGTGGGCAGCCCAGCAGAGAGTGGAGCGGAGCCCTGGGAAGGGGCAATAAGGCTCAGTGGGAGGACAGAGGCTGCCAGGAAGAGGGCGGGTTGCTTTGGGGGTACTGACAGGCACTCAGTCAAGAGTCCCTGTCCTGGGAGGAGGTGGGAAGGGAAGGGGAAGATGAGAGGAATGTTCAAGAGTTCCAGAGTCCCTAGCTGTGGCCCCGAGGCCAACTGAGCCACTTCCTACGCCTCACCGTCACAGCAGCTTGGCCCTGACCCACACAGCCAGGGCTGGAGCCGAGTGGGGAAAGGGTAAAGGAGGTGGTGCTGGTCAGGGACATTCCCTTGGAGCGGCAGCGTCTGGTACTTAACCCCAGGCACTCGAGAGCGAAGCCAGGCCCATCCTCCCCTTATTGCACAGCTCAGGCTCCCCGCACCCTATGTTGTCATGGGAACCATGGAGGCAGCAGAGCTCTCTGCCATCCCCACCCTGCACCCCTTGAGGCAGTGCAGGGGCAACCCCGCTCTCCCTACCTTCCCTCGATGACGGTGATGACATCGTTCATCTGGATGTGTAGCTTGTCTGGTTCCTCAAAGTCCTGGAGGGCCCGCATGTCTGTGGGCTGGGCCTGGGGGCCGACACAGGTCACTGCCCAGCCTGGGCCTGACCCCTGCCTGGATACCCCAGCCCCATGGTGCCGGCCTCCCCTCACCTCCAGCAGGAAGTCCCGCAGGGCCACAAAGGTGGGTCTGTCTTCTGGCTTGTGGGCCCAGCACTGAACCATGACATTGTAGATATCCTGGGGGCAGTCCTCGGGCCGTGGCAGACGCTCCCCCTCTTTGTCAATCTTATGCAGAATCTGGGGGTGGGGTGGCACAGTCTGAACATGAGCAGAGCCCCCAGATCCTTGCCTCCCACCTTCCCTCCAGCCCATGGAACTCCTGGAGCTGTGGGCTGCCAGGCCTGGACCCCAGAGGAAAGGTCTCCAGGAACCTATCCCCAGGCCTCTGACCCTCAACCCCTGGCTGGGGCCTCTGGGTAGGTGGCCATGGCAAGGGAAAAAAGGTAAGCCAGCCCCAGTCTGGCCCTCTCCTCACCATCAGGGGCCCTTCTCTCTGCTCAGCAATCTGGGAGGTCATATGAGGCCACAGGGCAGGGGGGACAGGGACCCTAGTGAGTAAGAGCCAGTTCCAACAGGAACCCAATCGACCCCCACCCGTCCTGTAGGGAGAGCATCTCTAGCCCCTCACCTGACTGCCGTTGAGACCAATCCAGGGCTCCTGGCCATAGGTGAACATCTCCCACAGTGTGACCCCAAACATCCAGGTATCACTGGCATGGGAGAAGGTGCGTGTCTTCAGGCTCTCAGGAGCACACCTGGCAGAGGCAGGGGTCACACGGAAAGCCTCTCAGAGCACGCCCACCCACATCAGCCCACCGGACATTAAACACTCACTCACCATATGGTGGGCCTGTGTGCCAGGCTCACCAATAGGTACTGGTGACATGAGTGAAGTGATCAGGGACAGGACTTACCAACTGGGGGAGGCACAGACTTGTGGAAAATCATCTATGCTCATGTCTTTATTCCCCTGGAGCCTGGGCGGGATGAGGGGGAAGTCTGCAGGTCAGGGAAGCATTTGGGGGTGAGGGGGAGGTCAGGGGTTCCAGGAGTCAGTGAGGGGGAGGAGATTGGATAAAATCTCAGGCTGTTTTCTAATTGTGGTGGGAGGAGGACAATTTCCGGATTTGGGGCAGGATCCTGAGATTTGGGTCATTTCAGCAGGAAGGTGTGGGTGGGAAATTTGGATAGGGTCTGGGGAAGAACCGAAATGGCTGGAAACAGTTACACTGGCTTCACCCAAGTATCCCATACTCCCTCTGGGACTCCCTTTTGGGTGAGACAGAGAAATGCCACACAGTATAGGCAGCAGAAGGGCACTCTCTGGGGGGCTAAGGTGCAGGGTGTTGGGCAAGCCGACTTAACAGAACCAGAGACTCTCTCCTGGGACTGGAGAGCTGGCCCTGCCACTCCAAGGGGGCAGGACACGGGGACAGTCACTCAAGATCCCCAAGTCCCCATCTGTGAAACGGGAGTGACAATAACCTGCTCGTCTCACAGTGGCTGTCATGAGGGGACTTCATCATTTACCACCCCACCTGGGATGCCTGGGTATGAAGGGGGCACTGTTATTGACTCCAGAACAACAGGCAAAGTCCGGAATGTGTGGTCACCCCACATATAAAGTAGGTTATTAATTAGGGGGGCCGTGCATCCCGGGTTAGAAGGATCTTCTGGCAAGGAGAACCAGGCCTACTCCTTGCAGCCCAAAGCCAGGAGACCACAGTCCTTCGGGGGTGTCTGGAAGCAATGGACCACAATGGCCTAAGCAAGGAGAAGCTCACACAAGGGCCGGCACAGGGCCACGTACCCTCCGTGCACAGGTTAAAGTCCCTGTCAGCCCTACAGGCCTGGCACGGTCCGGCCCTGCCTGCGGCTAGCACTCCCTGGAACGTAATTGCTGACCAGTCTGCCTGGCTAACCGCAGACATTTCGGGAGCTTCCTACGGAGTCCTCCAGGAAGCCCTTCCGAGCCCCCAAAGTCCTCACCCCTGTGCATCACACTACCCAGCACACAGGCCCAGAGAATTCCTAGATGGATGAGTGGGTGGACTGCACACGAGACAGGCACCCCAGGTCCAGAAAAGACAAAGGCTACTGTGGTCATTGAAGCCCTGGGGGCTCCGAGGCCGGGGTGTGCAAGGACCGGGGTGGAGCAGGTCAGTGTCCAGACCCGATGAGCTGGCAGCTCCTGTCCCTCACCAGGCAAAGGGCACCTTGCGATGCTCCTGCATGACATAGTGATCGTCATTCTGGGGCAGTGCACGCATCAGCCCAAAGTCCCCAATCTTGACCAGGTCACGGGCAGCCAACAGCAGGTTCCGGGCAGCCAGGTCTCGGTGAATGAAGCGCTTGGACTCCAAGTAGCCCATGCCCTCGGCCACTTGCACAGCATAGCGGCTCAGAGTGCCCAGGAGGAAGTGGCCCTGGTGCTTGCGTAGCCGGTCCAACAGCGATCCGAGCGGCGCCAGCTCTGTCACCTGAGGCCACGGGGCAGGCGGGAGGAGTCAGTGTGGCAGAGCCCTGCCTGTTCCCCGGTGCCCCATGCTGGGCTCCCAGTCCCTCTGCTGAAGGCCTGAGCCATGCTCCGTGCTCCTCCCTGGCCTGTCCTCTGGGGACCTCTAGGTCTTCTCCGGCTCCCCAAGCCTCTCCCTCCAGGTAACGTGGGAACCCAAGGCCCCAAAAGAAGCAACCGCAGAGGCTCAGATTAGAAATTCTAAAAATGAAACTCTAAGGCCAGCCCCTCCGATGAGTGCAACTCTCTGCCAGTGAGCATAAACAAAACCCAGAGATGGACACAGGCTCCAGTGGCCACAGGACCAGGCCCGGCCCCATCAGGTAGGGGACCCACGTGTCCTTCATCAGGATGGAGGGACAAAGCCCAGCACAGGCAGGGGACAGGCAGATCTGGGGGCCCAGAGACCCTGCCTGAGCCCCCGGCCACCAGCTGCAGCACTCACCATCTTCATGGGTGGCGTGAGCACCACGCCATAGAGGCGAATGAGGTTGCGATGGTCCAGCGAGTGCATGGCGTTAACCTCCCGGATGAAGTCGTCCATGGCTTCGGGCTGGCTCAGCACGTCAGGCTTCAGGCACTTCACAGCCACACTCACCTGCCGGAGTGGGGATGGGACGGGGTCAGGACGGGTGCCGGGCTCCCGTGCTCTGCGCCAGCCTGCTCCTCCCTCCGACTCAGTCCAAACAGCCCTGACTCAGGTCTGCTCATCTGGGGTGGCTAGGACATCACAGGGGCCTGTGGCCTGGCTGGGGCAGGGCCTCCCCTTCCTGGGGAAACGCCCAGATGAAAGAGCAACTCGACAAAAAGAGATGATCAGTGTGGTGACAGAGTATTAAAATGCTATCATAAATGGAACACTAAAAATGTTTTTGGTGTGGAAGGAAAACACTGTAAATACAATGCCAAAAGGAGCGCCTGGTGGCTCAGTGGGTTAAGCATCTGCCTACAGCTCAGGTCATGATCTCCAGGTCCTGGGATCAAGCCCCGCATCTGCTTTTCCCTCTCCCTCTGCCTCTCCCCCAACCACCCCCCCGCTTGTGCACGCTCTTTGTCTCTCTCTAATGAATGAAGTCTTAAATATATGTATATATATGTTTATATACACATATATTCCCAAAAAGCTACATATATGGCCAAAATCGAACCTATAGTGAGAGAAATCAAAAGAGTGCTTCCCATGGAGGAAGAGGACACTCAGTGGAGGGACAAGAGGGAGCCTTCTGGGGTGCTGGGACTGTTCTCTGTCACAATCAGGGCAGTGGTTACATAGATCTGTGCATTCATAAAAACTCACTAAGTTGAAATGCTAACTCTGCTTCCTGAGTGGTGGGATTACAAACAACTGTTTTTTCATATTTTTAAAATAATTTCTGAAGTTTTATAATAAGTACATTATTTTTGTAACTTAAAAAAAGAAATAGACGTGTCTAGTTAAAGGTGAGCATGGAGTCCACAGCAAGCCCCTTTCCGACCTGTGCCCAGCCCCATTCACATCCCAGTAGAGGGGAAAGACCTGCCTCAGAGGCAGCACTGGGGACACTCTGCCAGAGTCTCATAGAGGCCTGTCCCTCTGCCACATCCCACTGGACCCAGAAAGCTCACCGTCTTCCCCGAGGGGGCATCCCACTCGCCCCTGCGCACCACGCCAAAGGAGCCATCTCCCAGCTTCTCGAAGAGATGCAGGTCCTTCTCCCCAATGAGGCAGGTGAGGCTCTGCAGGGGCCCCTCCCCTGCTGGGCCCCCTGGTGTGGGTGAGGTCTTCCGGAAGGTGCTCTGAGAGTGGTGAGGAGGGAACTCAGCCTCCAGTCGCTTTCCACTGAACACCTGTTTGAAGGCAACCAGGGGCCAGATGGAAGCCTGAGGTCCCGGAGCAGGTCACTCAGCCCTGCCCCACAGGATCGTCAACTAGGCCTCCAGAGAGGTCCTGGCTTTGCCAAGCTGCCAGGGGGCAGCCGGGCTGGAGGCCCCCCCTCCTCTAGACCACACCCTCAAACAGGAACCCACAGTCTCAATGTGGCCTTGGGGTATGTGCCAGAAATGGACTGACAGGCATGTGGCTTGTGACTGCTGTGGCCCCACATCCAGCTGTGGGGTCAGAGAGAGCCCAGAGCCCCTCCAGACCCATCTTCTGCACCACCTGTCCCTCCCTGTCCCCCTCCCCAGCACAGACTCCAGCCCCTAACCCAAGCATATGGGCAGGAGCCCGAGGGGCCCTCCACAAACACCTCCCTTTCCATTTTTAGCCCTGGCCCCTTCTCTGGGTTGCCCATTTGGCGCTGTCTGTCTCCACCCTCCCTGGGGAGCTGACTGCCCTTCATCCTGCCGGGGGAGAGGATAATTTGAGCCTGAGGCTGGACCATGAATGTGTGTGTGTGGCGGGAGGAGGGGGAGTGCAGATGAAGCAAGGCCTTGCTGGGGAAGGGCCTAGGAAGACAGCTGAGCTCCTGGAGGGGTGCCTAGAGCTGAGAGCTGAGAAAGGAAGACTGGAGGGGACTCTGCAGCCTGGGCTGTGGTGGGAAGGGGCCAAAGGTCAGGGGACAGGAGGAAGGAGGCCTTGAGTAGCAGAGTTGGACCCATCGATCTGACTTGGCCCCCTGCACTGGGGCATCCGAAGCCTTGGTCTCAGGCCGCAGACCCTGTCCATTTGGGCCCCTGGCCCCCAAAGGTTGGCAGAGCCTTACCTGTATGGGTTAGGAGGTGTCTCCAATATGAGGGCCTCTTCTAGCCTCTGCTCTGTCCTTCCTCCCAGTAACTAAACTACCTTATGTTTGCAGGCAGTGTTCAGCTAACAAGGCCCTTCTCAGCCTTTATCTTAAGGGACCCTCTCCACTGCCCAATGAGGTGAGCCAGACAAGTACCGCCAGCACTCTCACTGAAGACAGGCCTCAGGTCTGGACAGGTTCACCGACCAAGCCGAAGATGTCCTGTGTGGTAGGTCCACGACCCCTGAATCCAGGCGCACTGCACAGCTCTTCCCTCTTGCCTTTATCCACCCAACAAACTCATCCTTCCCTAAAACCTGGGCAAGGGACCAGGACAGTGTCCCCAGAAAAGGCCACAGAGTCCCAAGAGACAGCCCCTTGGCCAGATCACAGCCAGGAAATCTCTGCTGCCCAATCCTGGTCCAGCTGTTCTGCCCTGCCCACCCCCCACCCCAGCCCTGAGGCCAGAAGCGGGGAGGGAAGGCCCTGGCTGGTTCACTTCCTCTCGCATTGTCTTCCAGACAATGGGCAAAGTTCCACTGAGTCAGACCAGGGACTCACCACTCCAGAGACCCAAATTAGGACAAAGGGAGAAGGGGGGCAGGCAGTGGGGAAGGAAGCTGTCAGCAGGACCACATGACCAGAGAAACCCCCTGCCGACTAGGGAAAGTGGGGGAGGAGGGAAGCCAGGCAAAGATGTCCTGGGTCCAGACAGTCCCCACCACTCTGCCCTGGACACTGGCCCCAACAGGCAGACAGAGGAAGGGCTCAGGTTACTGCGCACTTGTCAGCGAGTGCCTGTTCCACGCCCAACGCGACTGCACTGCGGGCGGGGGCGGGAAGACATCACGGCACACGGGCTACTCACATGCCCTCTCCAGTGGGGACGAGACACTTAGCTGGGCAGTTCTGTAGGCACCCTGCCCAGAAAGACACTGGAGGAGGGAGGTCTGGACCAGGTACAAATCACACCTGCCTGGGCTCGGGGGAGATCCCCAGGACTGACCTCACAGGGAGGCCTGCGCGGCTGCCCGCCCCATCTCACTCCTTGTCCACACACCTTGCTCATCCAAGACTTGCGTTTGCACATGGCCTTTCTTCTCTTCACAGCCTCCCACAGCCGCCGCTGGCCTGCGGGGAAGGAAGGGGTTTCAGATGTTGTTAAGGTAGCTCATATCCCCCAGAGAAGCTGCCCGCCTGCATCCTTCCTTGGTCTCCCTGGGGTGCATCCACCGCTAGGTACTGCCCAGCACAGTGACACCAGGAAACAGACCATTCCAACCAACCAGGGGCCACAGTTAACCAGACGGCATTCCACATCTAGGCAGTGGTTCTTGAACAAGAGGGAGGCGTTTAACCACCAAAACTGAACAGCAGTGGTCTTTTTCCAGCGTTCAAGAAAAAAAAAAAAAAAAAGGTAATGGGTAGAATTTGCCCAATTTTGAGTTTTTCCTCCCATTTTATTATGTTCCTGGCATCAGATACCAACTATCAAAGCCAAAACTAGCCTGTGCCGATGTCTACTTTAGCATGTTATTACTTATTCAGCTATTTTAAGCTGAATGTACTAATAAGTTTAATGCAAGGAATAAATACCATTTTTCTAGATGTTACAGTCAGTACTTTTAGGATAAATACATAGGAAAAAAATGAGGTCAACTGACATGGCAGATCGTGGTTCATGGGAAAGAGAAAGAATGAGTTCACTGTACAGCAGATCTTTGTGAGAAAGAGACAGATTAAGAGAAAATGGACCAAAATTAACCATCTGAGGGTTTCTTATCTTCTCCTAGTCACATGGATCTCTGGACCCCGGCCCCTCTGGGGTTCAGAATGGTGAGCAGGGCAGACTCAAGTCCACATTCACAGTGGAGGAGGAGCTGGAGGAATGCATCCCCAAACGTCTGAACAAGCCAGAAGGGGTGTGTGTTTAATCCTGAGTCTCCAGAGCTCTAAGACTGCCTTGTCCTCCAGCTCCAAGTCACCGCTCCCACTGCCAACTGCTCTCCTGTGCTCACGGTGTGCAGCATCTACTGATGGCCCTCCAGCCCACCGTGGGGGCTCCAGGACAGGCCGCGGGCGTCCTCAGCTCTGCCACCCCAAGCCAGGAGGAGGAGGGCTCTTCCACGCACTTGGCCGTCCTGAGGGCAGAGAGGTGAACGGTCAGTGGGGAAGCAAGCGGCAAGGCCAATGTCCCCACCTACCGGGCCGGCCCATGCCGATCTTCTCCAGGTCCTCATTCTTGACATACTCGAAGTGGGACAGGCGGGTGACGTTGAGGTCATCACGGAGCCGCAGGAAGTATTGCTGCAGCTGCACCTCGGACAGCAGCTCCAGCAGCCAGCCCGCGCCCTCCTCCGGCTGCATGCTGCTGCTCCCCAGCCTCTGCGGGGGGGGGGGGGGGAGGGACGGCTCAGGGACCTGGGGTGTGGGCAGGGGGTGGGGGACCTCTCCCCGAGGGCCCTTGGCTCACCCACCTCCTACTAAGCTGCTTCAACAAAGGGCCCAAATAGCCTGCCCGCTCCCCCAAACTGTACAGCCGTGCAGCCCTGTGCCCTCTTCCCACTGGCCACAAGGACGGAGCTGCGACAGCCAGAATACAGCCCAAGCCCTGGCGTCGGGGTCTTAAGTCCAAACTGCATCTGCGGCTGAGTGACCAGAGAGCCACCGCTCTGTTCTCAGAGGCACAAACCCTATGAGAACCACGAAAACTACTGATCGTGTCTCCAGGAAAACAGACACATTCTTACAAAGTTTTCATTACAAAACTGGGGAGGAGCAGCAGGCTGGTTCAGTGGGTTAAGCCTCTGCCTTTGGCTCAGGTCACATTCTCAGGGTCCTGGGGTGGAGCCCCACATCAGGCTCTCTGCTCAGTGGGGAGCCTGCTTCCCCCCCCCACCCGCCTGCCCTTCTGCCTACTTGTGATCTCTCTCTGTGTCAAATAAATAAATAAAATCTTAAAAAAAAAAAACTGGGGAGAAGCAGCAGGCTGGCCTAGTCAGTAGAACATGTGACTCTGGATCAGGGCTGTGAGTTCGAGCCCTGCAATGCATGTAAAGATTACTTAAAAATAAAATTTTTCTAGGGGCACCTGGGTGGCTCAGTTGGTTAAGTGTCTGACTCTTGATCTCAGCTCAAGTCTTGATCTCACAGTCATGGGTTTGAGCCTCGCGCTGGACTCCATGCTCGGTGTGAAGCCTACTTAATATATATATATATATGTATATATATTGGTGGGGTTGTATGTATATATATATATATGTATATATGTATATAGTTGTATACATACAACTATATATATATATATAGTTGGTGGGGTACAGGGTCCCTTGAGACCCACCCATAGGGTCCCCAGACCTGATGGACCCCAGAGAAAGCACTGTGGACTAGATGAGCTCTGAGTTCCACCCAATGCCTGACATCAGCAGAGCCTCCCCTCCCGATCCAAAGACCATCCCACAGGAGACCACTTGAGTGCCCGACAGGACCACACAAGTGAAAGATAAAAAGGGAGCAGAGGCTGGGGTGGCCTTTTATTTATTTATTTTTTAAGATTTTATTTATTTATTTGACTGAGAGAGACAGTGCAGACATACAAGCAGGGGGAGCGGCAGGCAGAGGGAGAAGCAGGCGCAGCTTTGAGCAGAGAGCCCAACGTGGAACTCGATGCCAGGACTGTGAGATCATGACCCAAGCCGAGGGCAGACACTTAACTGACTGAACCAGCCAGGTGCCCCTGGGGTGGACTTTTAGATGCCGGCTCAAAGAGGCAGCCCTGCTTAGCTCCACTGACCGCTGTCACCACAGACCACTGTCCAACGTCATTAAAGTTTCCAATTTTTTCAAGGAATACTGGAAATCTGAATCTAGATGTGAAATCTCGCCACTAAAATTCTTTTTGAAAAGGTAATATATGCACATGGTAAAATATTCAAAAGGCACACAGGAGCCATGAATTCTCATTCCCTGCCCTCCTGCACATCACCTAGCCCCCCACCCCCAAAGCCAGTTGCCATAAATGACTTCTCCGTATCCTTCCAGACTGTTTTCTTCACTTACACCAACATTCACCCATCAACCACACCATTCTCTTCCTTGTTTTCACTTAATATTACATCTTTCTCCTAACTTTTTAATTATGTCAACCAATTCAACTCTGAAACACAGACACACACGTGTGCACGCGCACATGCATTCTGTGCTGGCCAAGCAAAATACAAGTGCAGGCTATAATCAGCCAATGGGCCGCCAGGGAACAACCTGTGACCTACACTCTCTGCAGCCAGGAGAAAGAGGACACAGGGGCCCCCCTGAAATGAAGCAGCCTGACGGATTGAACCCAAACCCATCCTTGTCCAAGTAAGACACCACAGAGCTGAGGGCTGACCCGCATTCAGTTCCCCACCAAAGAAGAACCACGAGAGGGAAAAGGCCAGCAACCACTCAACCGCCCTCCAACAAGTCAGAGGTGGCCTTGGCCCCCAGCTCTCACCGCCAGGCGCACTCAGAAAAGCAGACACTGACAGCTCAGGCCCGCCATGCGCCTCTTGCCCCCACAACTCCCCATGGCGCTGCCAGCCCAGTGCCAGGACTTCAGACTCCCAGGCAGCTCAGGGCAGTACAAAGAGTGACCCATGGGATGGAGAGGCCCTCAGTTCAAACCTGCGCTCTCCACCCCCCACCCCTGCAAAGGCAGCTGGGCCACAGGGGTGTTCCAAACTTCAAGCTGTGACCCTTTACCCAGAAGGTTCTCCCAAGAGCTGGACGGCCCCCTAGGGGACATTCTTGGTTGTCATCACGTTGGGGGGCCACAAGTGGCATTTCGTGGGTGGTTGGGAGACAAGAACACAAGTTATCCTGTAACGTACAGGGAAATCTCACTCACTGTCCCACATCCCACACAACTTAGTTCATGCAGGTGAAAAACGGGTTTATGATCATCTGAACCTAGAACTGAATCCCATCTTACGTGTGAACAAAAGTTATTTTGCAGTTTCAATATACACTGAACCCTCCTCGAATGGAACTAATGCGTAAGCTGAGGGAAAACTGGCCTTTGTTTTGTTCAGAACTCACTGCAAGTTATTCGCTAGTCAGAAAAATGTCACTGAAGGCAACCTGCCTTTATGATTTCAAAACTCCCCTCTCAGTCAGCACCTGCAGGCGCTGCCTCCACACTGACTGGAGGGCTCAGCGCTGAGTACTTCTTCCTTCCCGACATAACAGAATACCTAAAATGTCATCCTCACTTTCATGTCTCCTTCAAACTACAGATGACATCATGTTGGCGGACTACACACATGGTAAAAAGGACATGTTTCTAATAATTTAATTGAAGAAGAGTAACAGTAAAAATAACTCTGACACCTGAACTCCACTTATTACACGCCAGGCACAGTTCTAAGCATCTTGCTGCATTAACTCACTTCTCCTCAACAAAACTATCTGTTACGCACGAGGGAGCGTGGATAATGAGAGGGCAGGAAGCTGCCGCTTTCCAGAAGAAGGCCCCAAGGGCACACTGTGAAAAATCACTGACTGTAGCCCTCGGCGGCCTGGCCAGTCCTTCCACCACCACTACCCTGTCTCTGGACCAAAGGGACTGTACCCGCTGCGTGCCCCAGCATGTGCCTGCCAGCAGGGCAAGCGGTCTAAAGACCCCCTCCTCTTCTTGCCCAGGCTCCAAGTCTCACCAGGCTCCTCACTGCCACCTTCCCCTGGAGGCAGCTGCTCCTCAGAATAGCTCAAAGCCATGCCCTAGGTGGTCAGGACTGGGGGAGACACAGAGCCCTTCCCCTGAAGCTGTTCAGAAAGCCCAGCCTGGCCTGCTTCTCTTCCCTGAGACACCAGCGAACAGATCTCCCTGCTCAGCTGGACACTCCCCTCCCTGCTTCTCCAGCCCCAGGAACAGGGCTGCTCTGCGTAGGGGTGTGCGGGGAACTAGAAGAACACTGGGATCCCAGTGAGGAGAAGCAATCAGGGTCTCAGTCCTGACTTTACCGCTGGGCCCAGGGTAAGCCTGGACGGGCCCCCTCTTCTCGGCTAAGTGCCCCTTCCATAGCAAGTTTCTTTGTCTACAGAGCACGGGGAGGGCACTGGCCCAGCTTCTCCCTGACCCTGCTCACACTCTC